CACAACACACACACAAACATACTCACACACGCGCGCACACACAGACACACGCACACAGGTTCCCTGTAGTCATTATCTTCTCCTGTGCACATCAAATTGGTGTGTACAAAAATTATGGGATTGTTTCACTGTTAACCTCTTTGCTCCCATGATTGTTGATTGAATGTCATCAGGGATTGATTGTTGATTGAATGTCATGAGGGATTGATTGTTGATTGAATGTCATCAAAGATTGATTGTTGATTGGGTGTCATCAAAGATTAATTGTTGATTGAATGTCATCAGGGATTGATTGTTGATTGAATGTCATTAAAGATTGATTGTTGATTGGATGTCATCGAAGATTGATTGTTGATTGGATGTCATCAAAGATTGATTGTTGATTGGATGTCATCAAAGTTTGATTGATGATTGGATGTCATCAAAGATTGATTGTTGATTGGATGTCATCAAAGATTGATTGTCGATTGAATGTCATCAAAGATTGATTGTTGATTGGATGTCATCAAAGATTGATTGTTGATTGGATGTCATCATTTCTACTCAGGGTTGAATGTTGTACTTGCACATTACTACGGCTGTATTGTGTCGTGTACGTGTTGTACATTACGACAGCTGTATGTGTGTATATATATATACTCCATACACATATATATATTGTACTGTACAGAAACGTATTACTCGGGCGCTCCAGAAAGTCGTATGAAAATGGTCCCAAGTAAAACAGTACAAGCTCTCTGACTATCTGACCATTAGTGGTAACGGTAGCCAGACTTGACCAGGCCAAGCTCACTTGTTCCTTCACCGGTGCTTCGGGACAGCCCTCATGGAGTTACGAACACAGTCGCAGTTGTCCAAGATGGCCACCCGTTGTGGAGGAGACAAGTAGTTGTGTTGGACGGGTGGACGTCTTACTCAGCGTTATTCTAATACAATATGATCGCTTGTAAGAACAAGGGGGCTAGCCGAAAAATGCTGTTTTGAGAAAAACAAAGGTAAAGTTTCTGCCCCTTGTTCAGTCTCTATGAAAGACAAGGAGAGTTTTTCCCTCTATCCAAACAAATCTACACACCAATGAAACCAAACTTCTCCTATAGACAGGGCAATGCCCATTTTTGGTGCAGGTCAAGATTTGTGGAAACCCCCAAAATCTGGGATAGCCCGCTTGTCCTTAAAAGCGACCTTATATTTTCTTTTAATGCAAGGAAGGAAGTGGGAAGCTTGTCCAGGTGTTTGTGTCGCCACGTGTTGGTGAGAGCAGGTTTGCCTGTTGTATTGGTGTGTGACGTTAGGTGGGGCATGTGTTGATAGATCTATGTGGAGCTTGTGTTGATAGATCTATGTGGAGCATGTGTTGATAGATCTATGTGGAGCATGTGTTGATAGATCTATGTGGAGCATGTGTTGATAGATCTATGTGGAGCATGTGTTGATAGATCTATGTGGAGCATGTGTTGATAGATTTATGTGGAGCATGTATGATAGATCTATGTGGAGCATGTATTGATAGATCTATGTGGAGCATGTGTTGATAGATCTATGTGGAGCATGTGTTGATAGATCTATGTGGAGCATGTGTTGATAGATCTATGTGGAGCATGTGTTGATAGATCTCCCGTTTCAGTATGGATCTGTGGTTACTGTATGACATGGTGAAGGTTTCTGACATGCCGGCATGTCTTCACTACTCAGGTACGGCACCCACCTCTGTGGACTGGTGGCTGTGGTGTGCCCGTTAGAAACTTTGTTGTCGCACGCAGGACATCAGAGTTTGATTCCCGAGTGGGGGACATTTTATGGAGTATCTCGGTTCTTCTGATGGGTTGTGGTATCCATCTCAGCCCAGGTTGGCCTGGGCAGGCAGGGTCGGAGCGTGTCTACTAAATGAGCCAAATTGTGTCGATGGGGGCTTAAAAACACCTAGTTGAAACCTGGACATGTCTCTTGTTTGTTTGTTGCCCTACAGTTGTATATATAGAATTTTCTACCATGTGCTTTTGTTTATAGAATTTTTATAATAAATTTTATGCATATTACCAGATATCTGTTCGTAATTGTTATTTATTTTTGTGTCCACAAGTCTGTCTGTCTTATTGTCTGTGTGTATGAAGGTACCTGGTAAAATTATAATACATGTGGTATATATATTATGTTAGGCAACGTGATGAAATCGGTGGATGGTACTGAAAACGTGGATTAAAGGCATAAAAGATGTCAATGTTCAGTTTCCACAGACTCTCAAGCTAAGGAAAAAACTCAACTTTGGTGGCCATTTTCCATTTCTCGCTAACCTTAGCTCTGAAATCAGGTGGCCTCCCACATCCTTCAATCGCCAATGTCTTGACTTATATCCAAGATAAATGGATATTTTTTTCATTAAACACACGGCAAATCGACAGGCTTTAAGATGATATCAATAACTTCTTATGGCCCCAAATTGACGAGCGCCTGATTCCACCGCGTGGTGACACATATATGACAGGTAGCGGTGGAGAGCTTTTCTAGGGTCCTATACTCAACACCAGGGTGGAACAGGTGAAGTGGAAATGATGAAATTATGTATATTTAGATCTAGGAGCACACACATTGCTGCGACTGGAAGCCGTCAAAGCAACACATGAGCACGGAACACCCAGGCTTTTCCACATAACTGCCACTGACAGAAGCTAGTGTGAGACATGATTATTGTGTGCTTGTGCTCACTAAATTTGGTAAAGAAATCGAGCAAACTGTTGAAATGAAATCTTTAAGTTACATTCTCTTAATATGTGAGGCATCGTGGTGAAATCAAGCGCTCGTCAAAATAATGAAATATTTTAAAAAGTGCATTTATCCTCTAGTTTGGCAATTTTTATCGAAATTTTGTTTTTTGGCTAAACAACTGTTATGTTCATATGAAAACACATTTCCATAATTTTACTGAAAGACCTTGTTTAAAGTCACATAATATGTAATTTTCAGTTTTCAAGGACTCTTAAGCTCTTGAAGTTACCAAACTTTGGCGGCCATTTTCTCGCTAATATTACTTCTGCTACCAGGCGACCCCCACGTCTTTCAGTCGCAAATATCTCCACTTCTAGTCAAGATAAATGGATATTTTTTTAATTGAAAGCAAAGCAAATGAACAACCTTTAAGACGACACCAATAAATTAATACGCCCAAAAAACTGACAAGCGCCTGATTCCACTGCGTCGTGACACATATAATACAGGGTGATTGAAAAAGAATGAACCGATTTTATGAGGCATTGCTTCAGTTCTCAAGCATCGTTATGGAATGAGTCAGTGACCCTTTGAAAGAGGGGTTTTCTAACTTAGCTGTTACAGGTGACCATTCGAAAGAGGAGTTATCCAACTTAGCTGTTACAGGGGGTGCTGTTGTCGCATGGTTCTTCCTTGGAAGGAAATACCATTAAAAGACAAACCTATCTCGGTATACTCCCAAACTGGCTCTTCACATCGCTGCAAGCAGATTCGCATGACTTCATTTTTCAACAAGATGGAACACTGCCCCGTTGGCATCTGATGGTTCGAGCTGTTTAAGATTTTAAAAAGTGCCCAGCACTGAACTGTTGGGAAACAGGCCCAAGACCTTGCCCTCTGTGCTTGGCCTGACAGATTCCGAAACCTCAGCCGGGGGATTTTTTTGTATGTAAAAAATTTATGTTCCACCATTACCCACGAACCTCGATGACCTTAGATATATGTATCGAATAACAACAGTGATCAACTCTGTGGACCATGGTTTGCTGAGATGTGTTGGGAAGAATTCTGTACCGTGTATGGCATTGATGTTGCCCATGCTACTGGGGGTGGCCACATTGAACACTTACAGGGAATCAAAGTTGACAGTGAGAACAACACTTGTAAGACAGGGAATAAAAGTTGACAGTGAGTACAGTACTTGTGACTTAGCTAAGGGTTTTCTATTGCTTTTCCTTTATTCTTTTTTAATAACCCTGTAGACAGTTGGGCACATGAACACAGCAAAATCGAAATCACTGACAGCTCGTACCGTACAATTTGCTTTTTCCGGACTGATATCTTTTTATTTTTTGTTACTAGACGGTTTAGCCGAATCATGGCTGTCTCAAACACAATATAATAACTTAGATCTAATTGTCTTTGAGTTATCCGTGCTCAACTCATTATTTGTAGATTTTATATAGATCTATTATATCTAGATCTAGTAGTGCTAATATAAATACACACACGCACAGACACGCACGCACGCGCACACACACACACACACACACACACACACACACTGTATGCTGTTTTCCGCGTCGAGGGTGCTAAATAAGGGAAGCAACTCGTATTGGTAAATGTAGAGCTGATATATAACTAAGTAGGTTCCCTTTACGACCCCCCCCCCCCGTTCCAAGCTGGCCGCGGAAACGAATAAACAGAAACAGATCGAGATTGTTCAAGTTTCACAGACGAAGATGGGTGGCCGGAAAAGGACCACAGTCACATCCCCACAAGCATACAACAACTAAAATAGGCCAACACAAAATGTATGGACCCGGGAAACACGGAACGAAAGGCGTGGGAGCTTTTTCTAGCAGACGACACGGCAGTAAGGAAAAAGGGCTAGATTATCCAGATCTAGAAGTCGAATCTTACCCCGATTGTCTGTCGATATTGGTGAATAAACTTAGCTTTTTGGCTTGTAGCTTCAGGATTATAAACTCTCTTGCACCTCGTAGAGAAAATCTAGCCAGATAAAGTAAAACATTTGTAAGAGATTTAAACTAAACTCTTGAGTTTGACCACTGTGGTACTGAGAGTGATGTTTTACTCATCAATATTGACGAATAATCAAATCGGGGATTTCTATGTCAGGACTTACAGCATCAGATCCAAAACAAATAAATATATTTTGACCATCCAAAAAATCTCCAGTAAAATCAATTGATTATTCAAGGCTTGTTCATGACATCAAGGCTATAATTTTATTAATTTGTATAATTTTGACCAAGCACTGGCTTTATGATCTATTCAGCCCAGTTCTGCTGAAAACACCGGAAGTTCGGTGTCTGTTCAATATTAATATTTTGCTTGGGATTTACCGTTTTTGTAAGCCTACTGGCTACTTGCGCTTTAGTGGAAACTTTTTCTGCTTTTTTGGGGGGGATGCTAAAAATCGAACGCACTGAAAAAGACAATGTGACAATTTCAATGGATGTGTTTCTTCCAGTTTTTTTGCTATATCTGATGCAATTTAGGTCTTTTGTGCGATAAAAAGACGCCCTGTTAGTTGCCAGGTGTTGCCAGATTGAGAGTGTTTGTCGAAACTTTGGTGGCTTTTGTATACAATTGAGTAAATCTGGGTTCGATAGTAACCGTTTTGAGAGAGAGAGATTTGTGTTTTTCTGCTTTTCTACATCCTAGTGATCCCAATCTTACTTGTGCAGTTGTTTAAAGACAGATTTTGGTCGACTGTGTGATCCAGCAACTCCTAGATCTAGAGATCTAGGTCTGTAGATTAAATCTCTATTGTTCGAATGGAGAGTTTTCATGCAAACTGAATGATCTGTGTGGAGTATGGAAGTTCTTGCACTGGCACAGGTGAAGGATCTGCACTTGTTTAGACCTAGAGATATCTAGATTCTAGGTTCTAGTTAGATCTGGTCTTGCAGAATTTTAGCTCAATTGCTATGGAACGAAATGGTGAAGGACAAGGAAGGGGAGAGACGGAAGTTGTCAAACATGAACAAGACTTTGTCTCTGACAGTATAGGACTACAGATTTCGACAGAGATGGATCCATCTGTCGTGAGAACAGAGCAGAATGTTTTCTCAACAGGTGGGGAGGGTTTTGTGGATGGTGGAGGTGGGGAGGGGTTTGTGGATGGTGCAAGCGGAGCAGAGGCTGCACCCTCCCATGAGCAGAGATGGCGTTCCGGTGATGTTGAGAGTTTGTCCAATGGTTTAGACTCTGAGAGAACTTTTGGAAACTTTAAAGAAACAGCTGCTGTCAACGGAGTGGAAAAACGTTTGGTCATTATTGATGAAAAACCCTCTGTCATTGCCGAGGAAAAACTTTCCCACACCATTTCTGAAAAACATTCTTTCCCTGATGCTGAAAAGCCTGTTATTCAAAATGAAAAATCTTCTGACAGAGTTTTTGCTGCTTCCGCATTTGAAGATACCAGTAGCAGCTGTGGAGACCATGTGCATCCTGTCTCGTCATCTCACTCTGCTGTCATTGATGTTCCGACTGTGGGCAAAATTGAAAACATGGACGATGGAAATAAAGGTAAGATTGCCTTGAACACACTACATTTTTTTAAGAGAGCGAGGAATGGAAGCTGGTTTTGTCTGCTCTGCTTGTAATTTTTAACTCAGTTAGCCCCGGTCCTGAACATACTCGGGATATCGGCTCGGTCCTGGTCCTCTACATTGTCAGGGTCAGGATTTCGGGTTTTTTTTCAAGTTGAATCGGTTTCTTAGCTTGAAATGAATTCTTTTCTGCAAATATTGGAAGTCGTGTTTAGAGGTCTTTGTAACTCCTAAACCTAGTTTCACTTTCACTTTGGAGACCTGTAACGTTCCAGCGAATGGCATCTGATGTGTATCAGTTTGAGGAAGAGGCTACTCTGTTGCATGCGGGTGACCTAGTTCTATTCCCGAATTGGGGAGAATTTTTATAATAGAGGTTTGTAAACTGTCTGTTTCCATCTCAGTCCAGGTTAGATTTTTTTTCGGTTGAAAGAGCTATGTTTTCAATTTGGAGGGATTGCTCACAAGTAAAGAGCCAGGGAATAGTCAAGTAAAGAGTCAGGGAATAGTAAGTAAAGAGCCAGGGCTGTTTTCTTTGGGTTTACCTCTAAGCTGTTTTTGGATTTTTTAACCATTCGGTTTTTATGCGGATTATTCTGTAAAAAGCTTACTTACCATGTTTTATTTTTAAGATAAAGATATGAAACTGTCCCTCTTTATTCTTTATTGTGTGCTACAAACGGGGGATATTGAAAGGAGAAAATAGTATGTTGAGTATGAGTCTTGCCACAGCAAAGCCGTGTCTTTTCATTTTTTAGTCAGTGCTTTTGTAAGATTTGTGTATGGGGGAAAGGAATTGGGAGGGGGGGGGGTGCAGAGCTCCTAATTGAAGCATTGTTTGGACAGTTTGATGGTGGGGTTGCAAGTGGTCACTGACTGACATAGCATGGAACTTTTATCTTGGGTCCGGCCAAATTTGACACCAGTTTTACCTGAAAGATTTGAAAATGAACCAGGAAGTTGATTTTTTCAGGGGTTTTCACTCTTGTATTTTTTTCTACCGGCGTCTGTGGTGTAGCGGTAAAGTGCTTCGCTGTTGCAGGCAGGAAAGCCCAGTTCTATTCCCTAGTGGGGAGAATTTTTTTTGATGTATGGGGTGTTCCGACCCCGACAGGCAGAGTGGCTAGTCCCGACTTTTTTTGTACAGGATCTTAACTTTGTCAACAGGGGCTTGAAAACACATTCATTAAAAAAATTTTTTATTTTGACAGATGGTGCAGCGGATGTGGACCCTGAGATAACTGTACCCTCCAGCACGGGGGGGAGGGAGAAGAAACGGCGGGGGGGAGGGGCGGGCAGGGGGCGTGGTGGGTCGACAGGCAGGGGGCGTGGTGGGTCGAGGGGTAGAGGTAGGAGGCCGCGGGGTGGGGGAACAGGCAGGGGGCGGGGTGGGGCGGCAGGCAGGGAGAAAAGACAACAGTCGTCTGAGCCATCAGTGGCTGCAGAGTCGGGGGTCGATGGCACTGTAAAACCTCGTGGTGGGCGTGGAAGGGGCGGGGCCAGGAGGGGGCGTGGCCGTGGGAAGAGGAAGTCGTCTTCCACCTCAGAGGGTCAAGGCCCGGGTGGCAACAAAGGTGATGATTCGGCGACGGTCGAGGGCCAGGGAGGGGAGACAAGTGGCCGGGAGGAAAAGCTCAAGGAGGCAGCAGCCAAGACCCGGAGAAAACGTTCTGAGAACCCTTCGGGATCGCGGAGGGGGAGGGGGAGGGGCAAGAAAAATTCCTTACCTCCTAGCTGGGAGCGGGACGAAGAGGACGAGTTTTTCCGGACGAATGTTCGCGTGAAGCCAGAGCCGCCTGCAGCGGGTGGCCAGGCCGCGGAGAAGCCCCACCAGTGTGAGTTCTGTGGCGCACGTTTCTCGCAGCGAGGAAACCTCAAGTCTCACACCCGCGTGCACACCGGAGAGCGACCCTTCATCTGTAAGTTTTGCGGGAAGGCGTTTGCCGATCAAAGCAACAGGAAGCTGCACGAACGTCTTCACGTGGGCGACAAGCGCTACGTCTGCGACTTCTGCGGCCGTCGGTTCATCTCAAGTGGCGTGCTGAAGAAACACGTGCGGCAGCACACGGGGGAGAAGCCGTACACGTGTGACGTCTGCGGGAAGTCCTTCGCTCAGACCGAGTACCTCAGCATGCACCGCAGGATTCACAAGGGGGATAAGCCCTGGGAGTGCGACCTCTGTGGGGTCAAGTTCATCCGCAACTGCCACCTGCTGCGCCACAAGAAGATCCACAAGGGAGAGAAGCCTTTTCAATGTGACATTTGTCAGGCCAAGTTCTCGAGACGCTGCAATATGAACACGCACAGGAAGTCCCACCTGAAAGGAAAGCCAGCGGAGAAGGAGGTGGTTGAGGGAGCGAGCTCAGCGTGGGAGTCACAGGGCACAGGTTCGGTGACTGGCTCAGCGTGGCTAAAAGATCCTATGTATTATCTGTGGCAGCGTGTGTCTGGCCAGGAGCCACAAGCCCAGCTCTCACAAGTGGAGAGAGCCCCAGAGGTCGTGACCTCCACCCCCAGCGCCGGCCCTCACCTGCTGGGAAATAACACGCGCAGCGCTGTTTCACACACGGCTGTCAGCAACACACTGACTGCCCTGTCGCAGACACCACTACACAACACACATCCCCCTGTGTCGCAGACACCACTACACAACACACATCCCCCTGTGTCGCAGACACCACTACACAACACACATCCCCCTGTGTCGCAGACACCACTACACAACACACATCCCCCTGTGTCGCAGACACCCGTACACAACACACATCCCCCTGTGTCGCAGACACCCGTACACAACACACATCCCTCTGTGTCACACACATCTGTCAACAACACGCATCCCCCTGTGTTACACACACCTCTCAACAACACACATCCCTCTGTGTCACACCCACCTGTGTCGCACACATCTGTCAACAACACACAGCCTTCTGTGTCGCACACACCTCTGAACACACAACACACCATCCCCCACTCACACATCAACAACACACACAGCCCGGCGGCCAGCCCTCTCTCCCCTCTCAATTTCTCCCACAATTCCCCTGTGTTGAGCAGCGCCTGCGGTGCATTAGACTACACTCGACCGTCTGGCGACCAGCATCGCCTGAGCGGCCTTGTGGGATACACGGGCGAGTTCGGTGCGACGTCAGACGTCTGTTTCCCGTCGCCGTGGTCGGCTCCTGAGCCCACGCACGGGTCAAACTCTGAGGTGTGTCAGGTGAGTGGGCGAGACGATTCCTTCTCTCCGCCCGGCCACTTGTCCAGTCCCCTCATGCCCTACACGCTGCCTGCTCCAATGTCGACTCTACACGGTACACACTCGCTTCCAATGACACACACGACACACCCCTTGCCAACGACACACGCCCTCCCAACAACACACGCCCTCTCAACGACACACGCCCTCCCAACGCCGCACACAACACACATGCTCCCAACAACACATGCGTCCAGCGCGGGCTCCCCCCACCTCCCGCACCCCCCGGGGACTACCGGCGTTGTTTTCCCCGACAGGAACCAAGCCATGTTGTCCCTGACCCCCGCACCCCCCTACCGACTCCCCCCGGGAAGAGCAGACGCGTCGGATGTGTGTTACCCCAGCACCACTGGCACGCGTCGTGACCCCACACACAAGTTTGTGAATTCCCCGGACCAGTGCCGAGCCCCGGGGGTCGTGTACCCTCCGACCTCCAGCGAGCCGTGTCGGGCCCGACTCCTGCAGTCCCCGGCGGATGGCTCTGTCACTGAGGTCAGAGGTCGGCCGGCAAGGGCAGACTCCGGGTGGCCTTCCGACACAGAGCCCGACGACGGGGTCAAAGGTGGCGGCACGCTGGGCTCAGGGTCAGGGTCAGTGGGTCAACTGTCGGGGGACAAGGGGAACGTGCGTTTTGCGGCAAGTGTGTCGGAGGGCGGCAGTGGCCTCGGTAACGAAGGTTTACCTGCCCGCTCAGGGGACACGGGCAGTGATTGCCCCGCTGGCAAAACCGTCAGTGGGGGAGGTGG